AGCCACGGTGGCAAGATGTTAACTCTCTCGCCTGGTTTGTAGGGGGTCGTGGGTTCAATTCCGACCCCGACGCATGTATATTTGGAGTTTGCAATGTCTCCCCGTGGTCGCGTAGATTTCTCTGGGTCCTCCGGTTGTTCCCTCCACATTCAGAAATGTGCGTTTAGAGTATTTTGGTCGCTATAAATTTCCACATGACAGGCCACTTCGGTGAGCTATAATTTGTGGCCAGGTCATTTCAGAAAAAGAGCTGTATAGCTCAGTGGGCATTACCTGGTAAAATTAAAACGGTTTAGTCGATTTTAATTTAGCTTCCATTTGAAAAAAAGCCGTATATTTGTAGATAATGTGCGGAAGTAAAACACACACTTGGGATAACTCTGAAGATGATCCACAAGTTAATATTTAAGCCTACTCCCTACTGAGAAACAAACAAAATACGTCGCAAAGGAAGACCAGGACAGAAAGAGAGAACTGGGCGACTCTGGGATGTGCATGTAACGAGCTAATATTATGCACGACCCATAATAATTCGACATCGCCTGGATGTGCTCTATTCGAGACAAATATTCAATGCTTTTTGACAAGATGATCTATTTATGTTGAAATGCTTTGTGCGGCAAACTTCCCAAAAGACCGTGTGTGTGCCCATTGCTGGTGTCCATGTGCAAAAGAGGCTGCACTTAGCCATGGGATTTAGCCGACTGAAAGCGTGACCTTGTTAAAACGCCTGGCAGTCAAGCAACATGACAAATGTACACCAGTTTTACCACTATTAGGGAGCATCAATACAGCGAGCAGAGCCATGCTACCCGAGAATCGCACTGCCGGCCTCTTTAGTCGACAGCCCATGGTAGAACTCTCCGCAGCGTGACTTTTTACTCCGAGGACCGTCACTGCCAGGCGTCGTTTCTCTGTGGCAGCACCCGTCATCCGGAATGTCATCTCACTTTACATTCGCAGCATTCAATCTACGACCGACTCTTAACAGACACGTAGAGGCCTATTTTTTCACCTGACTTTTGAGTAACATTTAACTTGGCTCCACACCTCAGAGTCGCGGTTATCTGTGAGATATTGTGCGGTATAATTTACAATATTATTATAACTAACATGAGACCTGTGTTTGAGCCTCACACGACCATGACAGCTTCCTTCCTTGCTCTGTAAAAAAATGTAAATAGGTTATTTTTATTGCTCTAGACATTTCTATATGTGCGGAAAAGCGGTATTAACAGTTTTTTGTTATCAATTTTCCATGCGGTTACCGGTAATGCAAAGAAATGTGTTTAACAAGCATATTTTACCATTTGATGTCAACATCACATAAAGCACAGGTTTGCAAAGGACGTTTAGCAAAGCAGATGTAAGCTCCTGAAAACTGGAGATGTAGACTCGACTCCGCACGACAGCTGGCTACAAGGATATTCATCAGCACGAGACAATAGCGGTAACCCGTAGCAGATATCCCAAGTGAATAGGCGCAATATAAAAAAAGGTTAATGAAGCCAGAGACATGCGAATAGGACCAGCGCTTCGGATCGCCACCAAGAGCAGTAAAAAGGCGCCGCATTTTCTCCGGCATGCCGCACGTTGCGTGCGCACGTCTAGAACCATAAAAGATTTACTCTGAAGCCGCGGCCTCACCACTGTTTTCTTTCCTCCAGACACACGGTATGAGATTTTATTTTTAGAATGTCCACTTCTGTGCGTACCACAATCGCAAAGTCTTGTTTGGCAGTCACAGCGGGATGCTTCCACCACCACGCACGTTGAATGTTTTATTAAAGTCTAACGGGTGAAAAGTTTTTTTTCAACAGACAAGATGCAATCTTGTCCTCTTTCGCCCAGCATTCACGAGTGACTTAGCGTTTGTTAAAATCACCCGCTGCTACGACAACTGCATATTGCGCCTAGCGAAAGTCACGTCAGATATTAGACCAGCTGCAATACGGTCCCCATATATTTCTTACATTTATATACTTATATACAGATATTTTTTACGGATATTTATGTTATGACAATTAGGGAAAAGCAAAACAAATGCAGTGTTATTGCATTTACCAAGACCACAAGAACATCCGAGACAAAGTGCTTCTATGTTTAACTTTAGAAGTTGACATATTTAATCCATCTGCATGTTATCCTTGACTACATGATCATTCTCACCTTCCTACCTTACTTCTCACAGTCATAATAATCTGATCTTGTAACGCGCCGCACAGCATTCGCTCACTCGAGGAGGAAGAGAGAGACGCAAGAAACCACAGACAAGCGGGGAAAGCGGCAACTCCCAGAGCCACCAGCACCCAATTCCCCCCCCAAAGCTCTGTGGTCCTCTATACATTAAGGTGCTAGCGGCCAATTAATGTGCGTACACGTGGGAGGAAACCGGAGCGCCCAGAGAAAACTCACATGTGCGAAGTAGCAAAACAGAACAGATGGAGATTAGTCCACATTTTGCTATACCGCTGTCTCCTGGCGAGCCAGGGTTACGGCTTCTCCTCGACACCCACGGAAGGGGGTTTCACAACATCTGTGTGATCCATCAACCCTCGCTGCCTCCACAGTACTGGATTACAGCACTGTGGAGGCGTGCGCCATCACCTCAAGCATCTACCATACGTCATTGTCCAAATGTGGCAAATAAAAAAATTACTTAATTTTGGAAAACACAGCGCAAAGGTTTTCCTAGCTACAAAATCTTAGCAGTACCCTCCTGAACAGGAGTTGCGAATCAGTGAAGTGAAAAAATCATGTATATTGGCTGAGAACATAGCCCTGCGTATTTTATTGCCTGGAGAGTGGACAATTACAGTGTACTGCCACCTAGAGTCCACTTTCTGGAAATACATTCACAGTTTTCTTGAGCAAATGTGCACGGAATTGTAAAGCATAACATTCAACAAATAACTTTCACGACTGATTCAGTTTCACTTTAACATTTGCAAGGCTAGATGTGTGTGTGTGTGGAGTCACTGGATGTTCGTAAAAATCATCTGTCATTTTGGATTTATTCAAGAGAAATGTAAAGTCAATGTTTATTGGGGACTTTTTCGGAACTCTTGGGAGAGCAGTGCATCTCCCCCCCCCCCCCCCCATGTGTCAAAGAACGGGCCGTGAAAGTTATTTCATAGAACCACCTCTGAGAACCCTACAAATAACCCTTTTTAGCCACAAACTATATGGGGCACACATTCCCCACATCAGAGACATTTTCATTGTATACGTCACTCTTACGGTGAGTTTTTATTCCCGGAAATAATATTTTGCCAAAAATCAAGTAACAAAGTAATGGAATGGAAGCGTTGTTTTGTCGTGCAGTTATCAGTAACTGGGTGGATACGATCAGCTCGCTGCACTTGAGTACGTGGTTTAATCATGGATGGCTACCAGAATTCCAACCCAGGAACTTAGCGGTATGGAGCGCCTGACCAAAGAAAGCTGCAACCCACAAAAACTATTGGGTGCCATTTTATTTCCCAAGTCTACTTCCCTCGAGTAATGGTTGGCACACTGGATCCAGTGATGGCTGGTTCCAATGGCGGAGCCAGGATTTCAGATAAGGGGAGCAACCCCTCCAGCAATGAAAAATGATAGAGGAGCTGTTAGTAAGTAAGGACTTGTCCCTTGCGTTTTATTCTACACGTGTGCGGCGATGGCACAGCCATCGATCGAGGGTCGAATTCGAACCGCGTTGTGTGATCGGCATCGCGCTCGCTGAAGGTGTCGATGCCTTCAGGGAAGTCGTGTACTGTATACGCAAATGCGCACAATTCTGTGAGTCACTTATAATTGCTTTGCCGTTATTGCCAATTATGGACTCAGACTATTGTCCTATCCTCTCAGAGCCGCTGGCACGTAATAATATGCTGCACAGTGGCAGTATGGGTGGCAAAATGTCGATGTATTACTAATAAACCTCAATGATCCGATCGAAATCAGGATTTCGATCGGATCATTGGGGGGGTGGCACCCCCCCCCCCCCCACTGGCTCTGCCAGTGGCCGGTTCGATTTCCAGGTACGCTTTGTCCACCCAGCAGTACAAATAGATGCACCCACAGTTAGTCCATTGGCAGAACAAGATGTCTGGCCAGCATGGAAGAGTAGGCCAAATACCTTCTTCAGGGGCTCTCTAGAAATCCCTTCAGTGGAGGTTTTTCCACCAGCAGTGGCAAGAACATCCAATTTCAGGGCTACACCATTACTTATTACCTGCATGCAAAATTAAGCGGCTACAAGTCGAACACTACTGATGATTGCAAACACATTCCACATGATAGAGAGTGCTAATTAAAATTAAGATAGGTAACTTTTGTAAATGTGTGTGCCATACATGACATGCAGAGAGCGCATTCAAATTAACATTGAGGTATTGTGTGTACGTGTGTGTACATGTGTGTACGTGCGTCTCGGACTCTCGGGTCGCGGTTAGTCCGCAGCACTACAAAACAAGTGACACGATTTCCATCCCGCTCACGGCCAACACCAGTGACAATTATCTGAACTGGCCCGGGGCCTTCTCTAGGTTGACTCAGCCTCAAATTAATACGTGGTGCAGTTTGTAAATATCGCCACTCGGGAGACAAAGGCGGCCGTACGTGATGCTGGCAACCCACCCCCTCGTGTGCCGTGTTGGCCTTCTTAGGTGCTCGCGAACAGCACTTGTCCCTACAGTCTGTTAAGACTACACGGGGGATCTTTGTCTTTGTCTCGGGTAACAGAGCCCACCGATTAAGCGGCGCTCTCATGTCATGCGAGGCTCCCGTTCAGCAATAATTAGGCACGTGCTGCATGTGAGCTGCATTTGTATTTGGATGGAGAAGACCGGAGAACATGGCAAAGCAAAGCACAGGGGGTCGAGAGGACTGCAATTTGAGAAGAGTCATATCACTGCGACGTCTCTAGAGGGCACTCCGGCTGTACAGATAACACTCGATAATCCGCGGGTGGATTACCCGGGCAGCGGATGAATCGAGCATGCAAATCTATAAAGCATCGCTATGCACGCGCAGGTTACATTATGAGCTGCTTCTAATTCAGCCAGTTACCCGGTACGCAGGTGAGAATTAACCGATTAGGTTAAGTAGTGAAAAAAGTAGGCCACGCACACTTTACACATCTTCTGCGCACAATTCTATACACATGCACAATTAACACGCCTCCCGCTCGCCTAACCATCCCTTCCACATGCAAAAAACACACAAGCGACTCCTCGCAAATACCATCAGCGGCAGCGCGGCTCTCTGTGAGTGCAACGTTTCAGCAGCATCGGTTCAACACGAGCAAACCGTGCACCGGTTTTGCCCATCGTCGCCGTGCTTGCGTCAGCCCAATGCTGGCGAACGAACCGAGGGGGCTCCTTGCCGATGAATCGAACTGGCAGCGGTTCAGCAGCGGTTCAAGTAAGCCCGACTGTGATGACGATACCGGTCCCGGACTATGCTTGTGTTGACCCAGTGCTGCTTGAAAATGCTGCACACCCAAGTAAATGCCGTTTGACACTCGTGTGATGCGCAGACAATGCTGTTGTTTTGCGCGTGGAGGTGTGGTTACACACGAGGGAGACGCGTTGTCCGCTTGTTTGTTCATTACATTCCGCGCAACATTTCTCTTGGTTATTTGGTGCTTCGCATTCTACGTAGGTAGGCAGTGTGTGTTGTGTTTTTTTTTATCGCCACATTTACATGCAATCTTGATTTGAAGCTTTTAGATGCGTTTTCTATAATAATACACGCCTTTGTGTGATCTGGGTCACCCTCCTTCACCAGCCCGTTACTGCAGATAACCAAAGATAGACTGCATTCATATTCTCATTCACTAAACTTGCATTGGCCAGGGCATGATAAACACGCAAGTTGTTTGCTACAATTTAAAGCGCTATTCGCTGCATGGGGTCGCATCTTCCGTGAAGTGCACGCGGAACACAGGTAAAATGAAACCTTGTTGTTTTGACAGCGAGTGTTGGGCTACGATGGGTTTTTTTTGCCACCCCCACCCCACCCCACCCTTTTAAATCTCGCTTCAAGTGATAACACACAAAATAAACAACTAAATAAACGCTTCAAAGACAGAGGGGGCAGGAACGCAACGTTTGCGCACGGGAATGAAGAGGACGCGACGCACCCTCGCGTGCGAGCGAGACGCAGAGTCCCGCGCACAGAAGAGAGAAACCTGCGGTGGGAACGCGCCTACCCCCCTCCCCCCCGCGTGGTGTTCGGCGATAAGCGGGCACACACCACTTAGGGGCCGTCCATAAATGACGTCACGCTCCTGGGGTGGGGGGTGGTTAGACATTTGTGACGATGTGTGACGAGGGGGAGGGGGGGTTTGAGAAATGTGACGTCACATCAAAATGCGCAACTTTAAATAAATATAGACAACACGTTCTACTTAATTAGATAGACTTTTTAATAAATGTTTTCTCCTGCAACATCATAGTGCAGCGCCACATTAAATACGCACTACAACGACAATAGTATAAAGCGATTTGAAACATGTTTTTTTTGGGGGGGGGGCAGAGCTTTGTGACGTCACATTTGAGGGGGGGTCTGACTTTTTGTGACGTCGTGTGACGAGCGGGGGGGGGGTCAAAAATCGCGTGACGTCATTTATGGACGGCCCCCTTAGGTGGCACGCGTGAACACGTTGCTGCCGCACTACGTCACGCTGGTTTAGCCGCAAGGGCGGGAGGGCTGGTGGGTGAGAGGAGCTTGCCCCGTTGTTTAGGCTCTGCCTGCACTCGTGGATGTGATATACACTCTGTTTACACTGGGTTGCTTTCATTTCCCCAGGAGTGCTCAGTGAAGGCGGCGGCTGTTCTAAGGGGTTAGAGGTAATGTAACAATCTCGGAGGGGGGGGGGGGGGCGGCGGGGGGAGGGAACCGTAACCCGACGGAAAAATGTAAGCGTTTCTCTTTGTTGAGATAAATCATAGCCCCCCTTTCCTCTCGCTCAGGTTCGAATAAACCCTTCATTCAGCCCGATCTTGACCTTTGCTTTCACTCGGAACCCGAGCGTTGCATTTGTAAACAACTGTTAATTAGGACTGCCCTCAAAAAGAGCACTTTGTTAAGGCTATATACCGTGAGCTGAAGGTCATGGATAATAACAATAATTATGGTGATTTAGGATGTGGGCAACAGGGGAATTGACTTACCTTAAACAATGCTCAGCTTCGCGGCATTAACTTTTGACATTTTGGTGTCGGTGTTTATTTTTTGCAGTCGTCTCATGAGGGTTACTGACGCACAACTACGTGGGCGTTTTTAGATGTTCTCCGACGCAAGTTGCAAAATGATTTAAAATTCTGCAGCCCATCTGCTGCTTAAAATGCCACCGTCTCATCACTGGTAAGGCTTCGAATTTTTAAGCCAAGCACTAAGCGCATACGACCTTGACTTGTGCATACACATTCTGGAAGGGCCCTCCTGCATCAGCTTACGTAACCTGAACTGTTTTCAACTCCTCAACCAATCAGGGGCTTTGTGCTTACCATATCAAAGTTCTCAATAATCACTCTACAAAAACCAATACTGTGTGATTAATCACTATACTGCACCGCCCATATGACACTGCTGCCATGTATTGAATTAATAAACTCCTTGGGTACGATGAGGATTCTGTTCAATTCCTTCCGTTTGCTTTCTTATCTGCTTCTTTTCCTTCTCACTCTCCGTACACTCTGTCTGCCTCTCCCTATTGCTTGCGAGGTAGCGGCTGGGGATCACTTACAAGGACAATCAGTCGTGCCGGTCTGTCGCTGGCCTATGTGTGTCCCAGTTCTTAGTGCGATTCAAAATTTTACTAAAACTGGAAAATAGAGGATGCTGCTCAATTTGCCAGTGCTTAGAGCCATGCTGAGAGGATTCATCACAGTAAAGTTATGCTGATGGAATGAGATGGGTCTTATGACAGCCGTTAAACTACTGGCACAACGCAACTACCGTAGTGCTCTAAGAATAGGGAATTGTCATGTTTTCCACAGATAGGATCCACACAGCTACTGATTGTGTTATATTCCAAATGCTTAGATGCAGTTTGGTTTTGCTTAAGATAGTGCTACTTGCACATACATATTTAAAAGCTATTCCTCTGTAATACATTTCATATCCTCTTTTTGGTGTAAAAAAAAGGCTCAAATAATTAATGAATAACTAACCGCACTCATAGCACACGATGGCTTCCAGTAACATCTTTTGAACATCTTTTGACGGAATAATATAAAACTCCGTACGTGGAAGTTGTCACCCAGTGCGATGTAATTGTTTGATGATTTTCTCGCAGAAAGCGTTTTGTACTCTTCGGGTGTTGTGATGCACAACAAGGGATGCATTAATATCTTGTTACGAGCACAGAAAGGAACATCGCCACTATCCCGCGCGACATTGTTGAAAAGTGAAACACGGCCCCGGGTTACTTTTTTCTGACAGTTGCAAATCACACACCAAGCCACAGTGCACTTGTCATGGGAACAAAGGCGTTCGTAGACAAAGACAATAACACGTTCACTGCGCAGGTGCGTAGACTCGAGCAGGAAGACTCGCGCTAAGGACTGACGAGTGACAAGACAGAGCCGGGGATGTGACTCACTGTGGGAAATGGCATCAGGTGGGAATTGCTCACACTCAGCGTCACATCTGGCAATTGTAAAACTTTGTGTTTCCAGGTAAAAGGAGGCATCACTGAACTGATATAAATGTGCGTGTGACTTCGACTGCCTTTTTCATGGTGTTGGCCGCAGGCGTTTTTCCAAAATTTACGACGCTATGTCAAACTCAATATAAATCCTTCAAAAATGTAAAGATGCTTCAATGTACACTTGACAGCAAGTGGATATTATCGCAATGTTATTGCTGGCCATAGGATACACTCTTCTGCATTTGTTACGTGTGAATGTACATATCCAGGGGTATGAATAGATTTTACCAAGTAATGGATTTTGTATTACAAGGTACATTGAACGCTCGACTCTCATTGTGCTGGGCTACGACACGGGCAGGAAAATGCCACGTAAGCAAAAACATATTGCAGACCCACCCATACAGATCATTGTGAATCACTGCCTTTGTGCGTGCAAGGTTTTTCTCTTACTACACCACATTCTATTCAACTCTCGAACGCATTCTGCCAAGGGAATGTGCAGACGTCGCAACACGCGGGACTGGGCGAGGCTCATCTGGATGAAGAAGAAGGAGGAGGAGGGGATGCGGTTAATCTCTTCTCCAAGCTCGTGTTGCACACTTGGCCGCGCACTTACATGAGGGACACCACCTCCCCGCGACGCACCTCGAAGTTACGGAGGCTCCAGCGGTTGAGCAGCACCACGTCGCTCGACGGACTCTGGGTGGGATTGAGGCACGGCTGGGAGACGACGAGAGCAAGCAAGGGGGGAGGGGGGAGGGTGGTGGGGACAAGAGAGCAAACGCAACGGTGAGAGAAGCCAAGGAGCGACAAGAGGGGGATGGAGAGGCAGCTGTGAGCTGCCACGGACAACGTGTGCAAGCAGGCGGCGGATTGAAACTCAAATCGCATTTTGGAAACCGAAGGCAAAATTGAAACTTGAATAATACATGGCGCTTTAAGGTTGCGCTTGCTGTTGGAATGCCGGCAAGAGTTGCGTGCGCGTGTAATGGGTAAACTAAAGAATTACCATACTCTTTGGTTCTATTGGGTAAAGTCACGTAGGTGAAAATAAAATAACAAAAAATCACGACGTTTCGGCCACAACACAAGCGGCCTTCATCAGGTGAAGGGACGAGACTGTCTGGAGGACAGCGCTGGAGTGGGGGGGATGGATCCTAGCAGTCACGAAAGCTTTAAATCTAGAATTAAAGAATTACTGTTTGGTAAATATAGTTAAAACCAATAATCGGGAAAAGTTTACTAAAAATATAAATGGATACACAGCTGTCAACCCATGCGGTTTAACCCCGTATTTTTGTCCAGGGAAATTGAGTTTTCAGGTCCATACGGCGTACAGTAGTTTCAATATGGGCAACAACAAAATTTGTATTCTTAGCTCTTTCGGTAAAGTCACGTTGAAGGGAAACAATAAAATAATAACATATATATTGTTTCCCTTCAACGTGACTTTACCGAAAAAGCTAAGAATATGAATTACTGCAGTGATGAAAGCTTTAAATCAAAACAAAATTTGTGTCTATGTGTTTGTGTTTCTCCCTTGTAAATGGGACTTTGTAGGGCACGGGGTGACCAATAAGATCTGAATGGTTCTGTAATAAGGTAGGCACTGATAAGGGGTTGACAGGTTTGTGGATAGGTGTAAACATTTGTATTTAATTAACAGTATGTTGACGTGTGAAAATTGGTTTCTTTTGCACGTCAGAATCTAGAGCTACAATTGAGATGAAAACCACAAGTGTGGAACGGGTTGCAGATGGGGCCCGTTTCTCCTGTCAAAACCGATTCCGTATCACGATAAAAAAAAACATGACATTTCAGTAAAGAGCCGCGCAGTATGTGTAAATCCCGCTGAGTAGACTCTAGTTCCCTTCTACAAAAGAAGCATTCGAAGTCACGGGATTATTTCGCCTTTAGAAACTTATAAACGTGCCTTATTGATTGGTGCCCCGATTGTTCCAAAAGTGTATGCAGTTTGCTATTTTTGTTTATGTGCACCTCGCCTCACACGCAGGAGAAAGAACTATTGCAATGAACTCTCCGTCAAATACTTTGACCATAATAGAGGTTTTTGGGTTAGATCGCGTAAATATATAAATGTGTCGTTAAAACCCGCCACCACCCGACACAGCCAACTAGTAAGGGTTGTCACGTAAACAGAACGCGCCAATTCGTCACTAGTACAGCACTAGTGTGTAGTAGTTTAGTGTACAGTAGTGTAGTGTATAGTGTAGTGTATAGTGTAGTGTACTAGTACAGCACACCGGTGTGTCGGAGAGCCAAGCCACAACATTTACAAACTGAGTAACGACGTTTCGCCAGTAATTACAACCAGCTTCATCAGGCGACAGCCACATTTGTGGAGAAGTCTAACTGTTTCGTTCCTTATATAGAGGCGTAGATGTGCTGACGACCCTTCTGCGCTCTTGCACAATTATATATGTACGCGATCTAACCCAAAAAACCTCTATTATGGATGATATTGGTCGCGAAAACCTACGTGTTAAACTGAACACTTTGACGTTAATTTGTTTTTATAAAACGACCGCTGGCTGCGAGCAGCAACAGAGGCCTTCTGAACCTGAGAGCAACACGCAAGGAAATCACATTGAGGAGCGTGCGCGTCGCCGTGTGCATGCGGCACAAACATAATTGAATTGCAGATAAGAAATATAAAAAGAGTGCTCGACATTTAGCCTGATTGTTCCACGCAGAAATTGCACACTCACAAATCCATTAAGACCCCGATTGAAGCATGCTACCATGGACATCAGTGAAACCTACGTCGCTTTCAAACTTTGTTCCACTTGTTCTGTTCTGGGATCCAAATTCAATAAATCCTGTACATCGTACCTTCTAAAGTTGTTCCAAATGCTTGTTACACCATCATTCAGATTTGTAAATGTGCAAAGTGTGTTCACAGCTGCAGTATTTCACGAATTATTACGTTTTGGTTTACGCTGGCGTTAAGGGTTTACCACATTAAATTTTTGAAATTAAAGCAATGTCGACAGTATGCCAACGTATATTTATATCGCCTGTAAAATCTAGAATCTATTCATTACATTTACTCGTGCGGGTCTGTCACTGTCTTATAGTCTTGCCTGCAAAAAACGATGTCCTCCCTCAATCACCTTGACACCACTCACACCATAACCACGTTTCACACACCGATCCCAACTCCACCACCAAGACCAAATCACTTCCAATCCCCCTCCCCCCCCCCCCCCCGGAGCAGCATACAGTGAGGGAAAAAAGTATTTGATCCCCTGCTGATTTTGTACGTTTGCCGACTGACAAAGAAATTATCAGTCTATAATTTTAATGGTAGGTTTATTTGAACAGTGAGAGACAGAATAACAACAAAAATCCAGAAAAACGCATGTCAAAAATGTTATGAATTGATTTGCATTTTAATGAGGGAAATAAGTATTTGACCCCTCTGCAAAACATGACTTAGTACTTGGTGGCAAAACCCTTGTTGGCAATCACAGAGGTCAGACGTTTCTTGTAGTTGGCCACCAGGTTTGCACACATCTCAGGAGGGATTTTGTCCCACTCCTCTTTGCAGATCTTCTCCAAGTCATTAAGGTTTCGATGCTGATATTTGACAACTCGAACCTTCAGCTCCCTCCACAGATTTTCTATGGGATTAAGGTCTGGAGACTGGCTAGGCCACTCCAGGACCTTAATGTGCTTCTTCTTGAGCCACTCCTTTGTTACCTTGGCCGTGTGTTGGGTCATTGTCATGCTGGAATACCCATCCACGACCCATTTTCAATGCCCTGGTTGAGGGAATGAGGTTCTCACCCATGATTTGACGGTATATGGCCCCGTCCATCGTCCGTTTGATGCGGTGAAGTTGTCCTGTCCCCTTAGCAGAAAAACACCCCCAAAGCATGTTTCCACCTCCATGTTTGACGGTGGGGATGGTGTTCTTGGGGTCATAGGCAGCATTCCTCCTCCTCCAAACAAGACGAATTGAGTTGATGCCAAAGAGTTCCATTTTGGTCTCATCTGACCACAACACTTTCAACCAGTTGTCCTCTGAATCATTCAGATGTTCATTGGCAAACTTCAGACGGGCATGTATATGTGCTTTCTTTAGCAGAGGGACCTAGCGGGCGCTGTAGGATTTCAGTCCTTCACCAATTGTTTCCTTGGTGACTATGGTCCCAGCTGCCTTGAGATCATTGACAAGATCCTCCCGTGTAGTTCTGGGCTGATTCCTCACCGTTCTCATGATCATTGCAACTCCACGAGGTGAGATCTTGCATGGAGCCCCAGGCCGAGGGAGATTGAAAGTTATTTTGTGTTTCTTCCATTTGCGAATAATCGCACCAACTGTTGTCACCTTCTCACCAAGCTGCTTGGCAATGGTCTTGTATCCCATTCCAGCCTTGTGTAGGTCTACAATCTTGTCCCTGACATCCTTGGATAGCTCTTTGGTCTTGGCCATGGTGGAGAGTTTGGAATCTGATTGATTGATGGCTTCTGTGGACAGGTGTCTTTTATACAGGTAACAAGCTGAGATTAGGAGCACTCCCTTTAAGAGTGTGCTCCTAATCTCAGCTCGTTACCTGTATAAAAGACACCTGAGAGCCATAAATATTTCTGATTGAGAAGGGGTCAAATACTTATTTCTCTCATTAAAATGCAAATCAATTTATAACATTTTTGACATGCGTTTTTCCGGATGTTTTTGTTATTATTCTGTCTCTCACTGTTCAAACAAACCTACCATTAAAATTATAGACTGATCATTTCTTTGTCAGTGGGCAAACGTACAAAATCAGCAAGGGATCAAATACTTTTTTCCCTCACTGTATGAAGGCTGGAACGGGACACGAGAGGGCAGGTGGCAAGCACCACGCCCGGCCGCCTTTGTCTCACTCGTGGCAATCTTTGCACATCGCATCTATGTATTATTTTGAGGCCGAGTCTACCTAGGGGACAGTTCAGATAATCGTCACTGATCTTGGCCGTGAGCGGGATTTGAGCTCGGGTGGCCGGGTTCGCTACACAACCACTCCCTGCATGCGTACCAATGACGACTGCCCAACACACGTATTCTGGTGGAAGAAGAAGACTCCACTCAGCTACCACCTTGGATGCCATGGGATAGCTCACAATATTAAACGTACAATTGTCGTCTGATGTTGCTTTTTTTTTGTTCAAACGCCACTAAAGAAGAAGAAAAGAAGAATGAGACACTCGGCAGACAGAAACGTGGGTGCAGCTTGGTTAACAAATAAAGAGTAATAATCTGCCCAACATTTTATTTCTGGATAAACATACAAATTCCACACAACACCTGACAACGAATCAAACCGCAATTTGTGCAGAGGAGCTCAACGAGCAATACAATTTAATTTATTTTATATATTTATATTTTTTATTTTATACCTACGTGACTTTACCGAATGAACCAAAGAGTATGGATCCCTGCAGTCACGAAAACTTCAAATCTAGAATAGAATTATTGCCGTTCTCTTATATTTATTTCAATATAACTATATTTTACATTTTAAGAAGACCGTGCTTTATATGTTTTAAAATGCGAGGGGAGAGGGTTAAACCCATTAGAATAGATAATGGGTCAGATTCACATCTTGACAAAA